TAAACTACTGATAGAGGCAGCGGAAAGAGAGCTATCAAAAGTCTAGGGTCTGAGTCCCACTGCTGCCACTTACTAGCTATGTGGTATCTACCTGATCAGTTGACTCCTTGAGACTTTCTGGGTATTAGACTATGTCTGGGTACTCCCTAAGGACCCTCCCGCCTCTGTCTATCACCAAGACTGAGATAGGAGCTGCAGGCAGCAGGGGCAGAGTACAGTGGGCAGCAGCACGGTAAGTCGGGAATACTTCAGGAGGATTTGGGTGGAACCTCCCAGAGAAGGAAAGAAGAGGGGGAGGGGCTCTCCTGGTATAAAGGAATGGCAGGAGGAACAAGAGACGTAGAAAAAGTTCAGTCCAGTCTTTGACCTCTGCCACCGAACCAAAGCTGAAAAACCAAGGATCATCAATGCTACCTATCAACCAGCCCAGAGTCCAGTAGAAGAGAGAGAATTTAAGTTTGCTTCCCAAATAGGCTCATCTCTTTGTAAAATGTATATTCCTTTGAAAATTATTAACTTGCCTCCTGAAAAACATTACCACCAGGAAGGACTTCACACTAGAAGACCCAACTCAGGAATTCAGGGAAGATGGCAGCCAACTTTGAGTCATTCGCACACCACATCTGTGACCTCGACCCTCTTTTTAAGAGGGTCAGTACACTACACTCTCAAGTACACTCTCAAAAATGTTAGAGAGTGGACTACTCCAATAAGAAACAGTCAACAACCCTCTTCTTAACCCGGCCCCAGAACCTGTCTGTCAAGGATCAGTTACTCCCAAAGGCATGCATGACTCCTCTCAGCTCTGCCCCATCTCACCCTGGCAGCCGTAGCCCAAGATATTCAAAAGGCAGGCCAAGAAACACCTCTCGTTAAGCACCAAGCCTTTATTGAGAATGAAGAATGATGGGCTGATTTAAATTATTATATCTTCCTACAGCTGTTCCCTTTTAAATATTTATCCTAGCAAACATCACCACTGTTTTTTACAACTTATTTTAATTGTGTGACTATTAAGCAAACCAAACCATAAAATCGGCTCTTGCTGCTGAGATTTATGTGATTCGCAGACCAGACCTTATTAAAAAAGGGAATCCACTGAGAACAAACCAGCCTCTCGAGTGCCCCTCACCGGCTCTAGGAAGGTGTGGGGCCTTTTCCTATTCCTGCCTGTGGCTCCCAAGCTCCCATAGTGAGTAGCACAGGAAATGAACAGAATCTACTCATTTCCCTGTGGTTCTATTTTCTTCTTAATAATCCCGATGAGTCTAAACTGGAAGTGGAGGGGGTAGTGGAAGCTCCGAGAGGCTCACAAACAGGATCAGTGCCCTGGAGGATTTAGGATCAAGGCCTGAGGAAAGAACTTAATGGAGGACTTTGAATAGCTAGGAACAAGCACGAAGTATCCTGATTGTCGACCACCAACAGAGTTCTAGATTTGGATCACAGAACTGCTTTGAGACTCCAATAAAGGCTCTCCTCCCAAAAATGCACATACACACATTTATATAAAATTTCAGGGGGTTCAAGGACACTCCTGAGCCCATCTCCACAGATGCCCAAGGGGTCCATGACCCTCAGTTATTTCTTACTACTTTTCACTGTTCCCACCCAAGATGCCCTAGTCTCTCCCTGAGATTGTTACAGTAGCCACTTAACTTATCTCCCAGCTTCTCTACACAGCAACCAGAGAGTGATCCCGTTGAAATCTAAGTCAGCTCATGTGACTTCTCTGTGCAATACAATCTACCAGTTTCCCTTTTCGCCTGGAATAAAGGCCACTGTCTCTACAATGTCTTACAAAGCCTCCAGGATCTGTCTCCTTGCTGATCTCATCTTCTTCACTTCTCAGCCTTAACTTGGGCTGCTCTAGCCATGCAGATCTCTTTGCTGTTTTCCCAACGTGACAGACGTGTTCTGACCTCTGGTTCTTTATCTGAGAAGCTCCCTCTACCCTCAATGTGCACGTGGCTCTCTCTTTCATTCCTTCAAGTGTTTTCTCAGTTGTCACTTTGTCCCTGAGACCTTCCTAACCACTACTGAAAACTGCATGCCTCCCCATTCCACCCCACACCTCCAATTCTCCTCCTCTGCATCATTTTTCTCCACGGCACCCATCCACATCTTACGTCCTGTGCATTTTACTTACTTGTTTATTATCTATCTCCCACACTAGCCAGTTAGCTAGCTCCATGAGGGCAGGGAGCTCTGTACCAGCCCTGTATCAGACACTGTGTACAAGGTGACAGTCCATGTTGCCTCCTCACTGCTGTAGTTGTTGCTTCTAACTTTTCTTCACCTGGTAATCTATTATTGTAAATATATTGCCAGAGTTTTATAATGACATACGTAAAGTATAAACCTTCCATCTGAAACATCACTCCAAATTAGCAGGAAATAGCTTGATGACCGCGTCGCCCCTCCTCCCATAGACATGGAAGGAAAATATTGAGAGTGAGGAAATGTGTAACAGAGGGAATGGCCTGAAAAACGCCAAAATATTTTCTGTCTCTTTAAAACATCCTCCACTCCTTTTTGAGAACTAAAACCTGCATCCCCGCCTCAGGTCAGTGGTTGGGAGGGGCAGGGTAAGTCTTCTGTTATTTGTGCTACAGGAGATGGCCCAGACCAGACCTGGTAAAGGGAGGTCCCGGGTGGAAGTCAGGGGATTGTCTTCAGCAGAGATCAGAATCATCTACAGTTGAACAGTAGTAACTGACTGCTGCTAATAACCCATCCTTTAAAAGCTCTGTATTTCTGCTTATTATTAGGATGATGGCATTTCAGACAGGAGTTTTGATCTTCCTCCTTTGCTGGCAAAGTAATAAAAATTTCTCTTTCCTTCTTCCTCAACAAAATAAAAAACAAAATAAAATAATGACAGAAGATATAACAAATACATAAATCAATAACACAGTTGCCTATCATCAATATAGAGTATTATGTACTACATATCTGCGGTCCCCAACCCTGGGGTGCGAACCAATAGTGGTCTGCTGCCTACTAGGGACCGCGCTAGGGACCAGGCAGCAGAGCTTCGCCCCCCTACTCCTCCACCCATGGGTGGAAAGCTTATCTTCCATGAAACTTAGGAAGGAGGGAGGGGGCACACAGTAGGAGGCAATAAGCAAAGCTTCATGTGTATTTACAGCCGCTCCCCAAGCTCCCCATCACTCACATCACAGCCTGAGCTCTGCCTCCATCCTCCACCCCCACCCCTCACTGAGGAAAAATCATCTTCCACGAAACTGGTCCCTGGTGCCAAAAAGGTTGGGGACCACTGCTATACATAACTATATGTGCTATAGTTTTATACGACTGTTAACACAGTAGGTTTCTTTACACCAGCATCACACACACAGGTAAAGAGCTGTCACTAGGCAACAGGAATTTTTCAGCTACATTATAATCTTATGGGACTGCTCTCTCATGCCACCTGTCTTTGACCTACAAGTCATTATGTGGTGCATGACTGTATTACTGCAATATTTTACATTCTTTTTTTTTTTTTTAGTATGTATTTTTCACTTACAGCACATCTCAATTCCAAGCAGTATTTCAAGTGCTCAATAGCCACATGTGGCTATGGGGTCCATTGGGGAAACGACAGATACAGTTAAGGAGAATTTTAAAACAATGTATTATAGTAAATGCAGTTGTGGAGATATGTTCAGGATGACTCAACTACCAGAGTTAGGACTTGAGCCTCCAGCAACCCTCAAATTCCAAAGCCCTTGTTCATTCTGCTGCACAACAGAGAAAAGACAAACAGGCTTTACCGCACTTAAAAAGCGGAATCACAGTTGTCCTCAGTCAACCAAACAATACATCCCAAATAAAACTCAGCCTTTTACCCCCAATACCTCCTCCTCCCCTCTCATTTTCTACTTTGGTTGATGATACCATTATCTATTTATCTGCTCACTCAAGTTGTCCCTGTTTTTTTTGTTTGTTTTTTGTTTTTTTAGGCAGGATCTCACTCTGTCACCCAACCTAGAGTGCAGTGGCCTGATCACAGCTCACTGTAACTACCACCTCCTGGGCCCAACTGATCCTCCTGCCCAGGCCTCCCAAAGTTCTGCGATTACACGTGTGAGCCACCGTGCGCAGCCAAGTCATCCTTGTTTTAAAGATAGATAAATGAGCACTTTATAGAGTATAACTTCAAATCTAAATGATTTTCAAAAATGGGCTTTCCTCTCCACCCCAACTAACTGAATTTCAGCTCTCAGGTGGGTCACTACAAAAGCCTTTTGATTTGTTCCTTTTCCTCAGTCTCTCCGCCATCCAGCTTCAACAGTAATTACTATAACCTGAGACCCTTCCCGGCGCTCTATTCCCTACAGAACAAAGGCCACGCTCTCCATCACGCAGCACAGAATTCCCTCTGGGATCTGTTCTTTGCTTACCTAACAATGCCCAATTGTTTGCCGTTCCTACACTGAACAAGGTCACTTACTTTCTCTGAGCCCACTACTCTTGGGTAAAAATAGCCATCTCAAATGCTCAGAGCGGACTTCAGGTTAAAATGCACTTTAAACGAAATACAATAAAGGGGTTACTTTCCCACCACTCCTTCACACTTTGTATCTACCTATCTACCTACTATCTAGTGCCTCTTTTCAATTCCATAAAAGTTACTGAATACTTACTATGTGCTAGGCACTTCGTGGGACACAAGATAGAGGGAATACAGAAAAAATAGGTTTGCGTTCCCAAGCTCATTACAAGACGGTTTTTCAATCACCATCTTTAAGGACTAGATAAGCTCTAACAGTATGAGAAAGTCAAGGTATCCTCGGAGTGCACGCCAGGCTGCGTCCCGGGCGCCACCACGTCCCCTCACCTCGGCCTCCCGGGTCCCGCTTGCCCACAGACCGGGAACCATCCCAAGCCCCTCAGGGCCGAATACTATCACGACCCACGTGGCCAACGGGGGCGGGGACGCGTCACGAGGTTCCGGCCCTGGCTTTTGCGCCTGCGCGCCTCCGCCAGCTCAAGGACCCGGATTTAAAGAGACAGGAGCTCCAACCGTTGTGAGCTGCCTACGGCCTGTGGGCGCCTGGACCCGAGGCCTCCGGTAAGCGCCGGAGCCGGGAGGTGGGTGAAGGGCGGCGCGGTGCGGCGCGGCGGGGCCCGCGAGGAGGGAAGTGGGCTGGGACCTGCAGCCTGGCGCAGCCCGGGAGGCGGCCCCCCGGCTCCTCCCCCGCCCGCCTGCGGAGCCCGGGGGCACACCCTCCGTGACGTGGAGGCCCCCGGGAGCCCGGGGGGGAGACTCGCGGCTCTCCGGGACCCCCATGGGGCCGCGGGAGGGAAGGGTCCCCCGATCCCCGGGCAGTGCCCCCTTCGGGACCTGCGGGGGTTTCTCGGACCCCGGCCCGGTGTGCATACTCCGGCACTGAAGTGGGCGCGCTTCGGTGGGAGTTTGGGAACCTTTCTCGTCCCCGGCCCGGTGGAGGAGCGCTCCCTTCCGCAGCGCCGCGGACTGGGCTCACGGTCCAGCCAGTGCCGGCCGGGCGCACCGCGAGGACTCGGGGGCTCGGCACCGCCTCCAGCCCCCGCCCTGCAGCCCGCTCTCCGCACCCCGGCCCGCAGCCTAGCCCATTCCGCGAAAGCGCAGCGGCGCGGCCTCCAGCGATTCCTTCTCGGGTCCCTGGGCTGCGGCCGTTGGAAGGCGGGGAACAGACGAGTTTCCTGTGAACCGCATTGTGCCTCCTCGTGGCCTAGCGCCTCCGGAGCCTTCCTCAAGTCTGCTCCTTTCATTATTTGGGGGGTGGGGTTTGTTCTGTAAATCGACCTTCTAAGAAAAGTCTTGAAACTCAACTTGTTCTGACTTCCTCTTATGCGTCTGCGATACTTTCACATATCTCACCGCTGTCGTTCTTAAACTTTAAGGGTTATATAGCCCTTTGTGAAGGCTATGAAAGTTGTGGACCTCCTGTCCCAAAAAAACGTTCATTTTCAAACATACACATTTCATATACATTTTTAGGAAGTTGAGAACCGCCCCCCCTTCTCCCCGCGCCCCGGACACCAGCCCATTCACGGATTTGTTGTGGTTTTCCCAACCACCCCGTGAAAGGTATTCTCCCTGTTTTAGAAATAGGAAAACAGCCCCAGAGAAGTGGAGTTTTCTCAAAGGTAACAGTCGGTAAGCTGTGTGGTCAGACTTGCACTCGCATCCCTGATTCCAAGTCCACCTGCTTTCCTCTGTACTACGGTGCACTGCAGTAAGTAAAGCCTGCTTTTTCTGGTAACACAATAACAATTTCATAGCCGTATGCAGACTGGAAATAATTTATGCTATGTTTAAAATTCAAACTATAAAGATACTTTAGAAAACTTGAACGTAAGAAGATGCAGATACAATCTGTTTCCATTTGGGTTGATTCATCAGCTCCTTTCATTTTTGCCATGGAATTACTTCAGCATTCCCTGACTCAAGTTGCTGAATTATAAACAGGTTAATTGCACAGAGAGCCTCTGCTTAGAAGATAACTTCTTCACTGGTTGTAATAAGAGTTAACATGTATTGAGCCTTTGCTGTATGCCTAACTTTGTTCTAAGGACTTCATGCTTATAACAACTCCTTGATTTAAGTACTGTTATTAGCCACGTTTTACAGATGAGGAAACTGAGGAACAGAGATTAAGTAACCTCATACAGCTAATAAGTGGCCAAGCTAGGCTTTGAACCCAGGCAGTCTGATTCTAGGCTTTGCTTAATTGCCTCTGAAAATAGTGGTTCTGATTAAATCACAAATCTGTGTCGTGGATTAATTGATTTCTGAAGATGGCATATATATTATACTTCACATTAAAAACTTCATAAACAGTGCAGTTTTTCTTGGTGATTAAAAAGAAACTGAAGGATCTTGTAATACTTAAAGATCATCATCTATTATGCATACATCACGTATTGCTGATGGCCTGAAAAGGCGTTTATGTTGTTTGGATTCTCTTCATTGTGATTTATTAGATAGATATACATGTGTACATTGGATAATTGAACACCCTTTTGCAAACTGGATTTTCTTATATTGGAACTTTTCTTCATTCTGTGGGCAATGAATCTTTAATACTTTGGGAAGTATTTGATTAGTCAGCATGCATTGTATAAGACTCTGGCCTTTGGGAAATTGGAAGCCTAGCTCCTCATTTATATCTCACCTTTTTGTCTCCTACCTTTTCATGCAGCTGTATGACTTTGGTTTTTAAGATCCTTTTCCCACAAGCTCTCCGTGCACTCAGCCGAAAAGAACTGTGCCTATTCCGAGAACAACGTCACTGGCCTGACATAAGACAATTCAGCCAGTGGTCAGAAACAGATCTCCTTCATGGACGCTGCCTCCTCCAAAGAAGTAAGCCTGTTCTGTCATTCCTGGGAGGCCATCTAAGACCACGTGCCACCTGCCTTGTTTTCTTGCCAGGGTCGCATGTGGGACTCTGCAGTGACCCCTATGAGATGGCCGAGCAACGGTTCTGTGTCGACTATGCCAAGCGTGGTACAGCTGGCTGCAAAAAATGCAAGGAAAAGATTGTGAAGGGCGTTTGCCGAATTGGCAAAGTGGTACCCAATCCCTTCTCAGAGTCCGGGGGTGATATGAAAGAGTGGTACCACATTAAATGCATGTTTGAGAAACTGGAGCGGGCCCGGGCCACCACAAAAAAAATCGAGGACCTCACAGAGCTGGAAGGCTGGGAAGAGCTGGAAGATAATGAGAAGGAACAGATAACCCAGCACATTGCAGGTGGGGTGGAGAAAAGTTTTCTCATCTTACTAGTGCTGAGAGAAAAAGGGCTAAGGAGAGTAGAGGTCAATTTTTTTTTAACTTTTTATTTTGAAATAACTTCAAACTCACAGAAGAATTGCAGGAATAAAAATAGTACAAAGAGCACTCATATTCCCTTTACCCAGATTTATTTATTAACATTTTACTCTATTTGCTTTAGCATGTTTGTTCATGTGTCCTCTCTCTACACGTACGAAGTTTAAAACATTTAAGAATAAGTTGCATACATTGTGGCCCTTTACCTTAAAATACTTTAGTGTATATATCTTGAGAGTAGGATATATGACCATTATGTGATGATAGTACAGCTATCATCTTCAGTAAATTTATCCTTCTTTTTTTTTTTTTTTTGAGACAGTGTCCCGCTCTGTTGCCTGGGGTAGAGTGAGTGCCGTGGGGTCAGCCTAGCTCACAGCAACCTCAAACTCCTGGGCTCAAGCAATCCTTCTGCCTCAGCCTCCCAAATAGCTGGGACTACAGGCACGCGCCACCATGCCCGGCTAATTTTTTCTATATATTTTTAGTTTTCCAGTTAATTTCTTTCTATTTTTTTAGTAGAGACGAGGTCTCGCTCTTGCTCAGGCTGGTCACAAACTCCTGAGCTCAAACAATCCGCCCTCCTCGGCCTCCCAGAATGCTAGGGTTATAGGCATGAGCCAGCAAGCCCAGCCAGTAAATTTATCCTTGATAGAATACTTTAGTCTACCATCTGTATGCTGTTTTATCAGTTGATTGAATAATATCTTTAAGAGCTTTTTTTTCCCTCCAGTATAGGATCTCAGCCTAGGATCGGATAGAGTATTGTATTTAGTTGTCATGTTTCTTTGGCCTCCTTTAATTTGGAATAGTCTTTCTTTTATTACATTGACATTTTTGAAGACTAGAGTACCCACTTTTATCTATCAATTATTGCCTGTTATAGACTCATGGATTACTACTTTCTCCCAGTGGCTTATAGTTCATTACTGCACTTAATTAATTTGGAACTTAATTATCCCATATTTGACCAATTAGGAGTCCCTTTAAGCTGGCCTCTGTGTCCTGTAAACCCTCATTTTGTTCAAAAAAAAAGTTTTAAAGTGCTTCTCACTCGAAGATATAACAAGATGCTCATAGTCTTATCTTGTATATGTCCTACTCTAGCCCTGGAACCAGCCATTTCTCTGAGGAGTCCAGCTTCCTGTTAGTGGGGAACGGTACTAGAGACCAAAATCTGGATGTTGTGTGTCCTCCTTGTTGTGGGGTATCTGTCCCTTTCGGCAGACAGCGAGAAAATACATGCATGTATATACACATAAATATACATACGTATATAGAGACATATACATATTTGCATGTACATGTATATTTATGTATATAGGCATATATAGAAATACTTAGAAATCTTATGCCAGTGACCTTGAAATCCAGTTAGTCCTCTTTGACCTTCAATGTCTGTAAAGTAATTGTCATACCCTCAACTAAGCATAGTTCTGGTCACTGTAGGAAGACTAAGCAGTGGCTTTAAAAATGGGCATTTTGGGCCGGGCGCGGTGGCTCACGCTTGTAATCCTAGCACTCTGGGAGGCCGAGACAGGAGGATTCCTTGAACTCAGGAGTTCAAGACCAGCCTGAGCAAGAGCAAGACCCCGTCTCTACTATAAATAGAAAGAAATTAGCCAAACAACTGAAAATAGAAAAAATTAGCTGGGCATGGTGGCACATGCCTGTAGCCCCAGCTACTCTGGAGGCTGAGTCAGAAGGATCGCTTGAGCCCAAGAGTTTGAGGTTGCTGTGAGCTAGGCTGACGCCATGGCACTCTAGCCCGGGCAACAGAGTGAGACTCTGTCTCAAAAAACAAAAAAAAAGGGCATTTTGTTCTTTGAAAGAAAAAAACTTCCAATAGAGAAAAGTCTACTTCCCATATCTCTATCCTCATGCTTCTCACCCCAGCCTGCTGAGCCTTAGCCATTGGCCTCAGCCTTTGTTACTTCTTGACCCATCTCATTCAGAGGAAGAGAAATGAAGGTAGAGTTAAATTGTCATGTGACTCAAATAACTAAGCAGTAGGAAATCTTCATACCTGTGCTAAACTGACATGCTCTGTGATTCATCTTCATTTACTTTTTTGTTTATTTATAAATGGAGACTAATTATATGGGGCTGGGGTCCCCAAGTTTTATCTCTCAAAATAGGATTTCTGATTTTCCCCAAATACTATTACTTCTGGAGATTATTATGTATGCGATAAGAGGTGGGGAATGTTGATGAAAATTTAAGCTACTAATAGAGATAAATGATAACTGGGTTTTTTTGTCCCCAGATCACCCTTCCCTCCCCTCCACCTAATACCCTATTACCTACTCCTACCACTCAAAAGACCAGCCAGCCTTAGAGTAATGACTTACCAAATAAGGCTCTGAGAGCAGTTTAAAGATTCTTTGGAGGCCAGCACGGTGGCTCACTCCTGTAATCCTAGCACTTTGGGAGGCTGAGGTGGGCGGATTGTTTGAGCTCAGGAGTTCAAAGAGGGAGACCCGTCTCTACTAAAAAAAA